AGTTGCCAAATTTGGAGATATTGCATCTTTGACTTGGTGCACGAAATTGCCAGCCTTTTTAGGTCATACTTGCTTCACAAAAAGATTGAAAAATCAAATCTTTGTATTTTCCTACAATTTAAATTAATTAAATGAATTAATATTGATTAAAAATCCAATTAATTAATAAAAATAAGAAAATAAATTCAATTAAGCTTGATGGGTCGTGCATAGGCCATGGATGAAGTTTCAAGAAGAGATTTGAGGCCCATTAGCAAAAATAAGGTGTTTTAAGCAAAGTTGACTTTTGCAAATTCATAAAAATTTCCCAACTTCTCCAATGGAAAGGTCTTGAAGTCCTCTAACCAATGCCTTTGGTCCCATGTCATTTGGATTTACCAATCTCAAGTTATGGCCTTTGACTTAAAGTGCATTTTTGTTGACTTTTGAATTTGACCTATAATGTAGAAATTGAAAACTTTTTATGAGAGAATTTATTGGACTTGGAGTGTGAAGATGGATTGTAGGAAATGTCATCCTCTTCAAAATGAGCATTGGATGGGATTTTTCTGATGAACCATGAAAAAGTTATGCCTTGGTCAAGATACAGTTGACTTTTCTACTGTCCAAAAATAGTAACTTTTTGCATCTCGATGATTTTTGAGCCATGCTTGTGGAATCATGATCAAGACTTTATCAAATGATGATTGTGGACTCAAAATAATATGTTGACAAAAAATTTTGACTTTTGAATGCAAAATGACCATTTTGCCCTTGCAGTTGACTATAGGTCAAATGGAGCTTTTGACTGTGCAAATTGGCACTATGAGTCTTGGAACTTGGCATGTAGGTGCTTGAGGATGCATATAGGCCCATGAGACTTGATTGTACCATTGAAAACCTCAAATTACTTGAAAGAACCAAAACCCTAATTTCAGCTGTCTTAGGAGATGGTTTGACTGTGCACCTCTTGAGCCATCTTGAGTAATTTGAAGATTATTCTTGACAAATCTTGAGGAATATGGGAGGGAAAATTTTGGGGTACAACAGTCATGATAGAAATATTTTGAGATATCTTAGCATTTCTATTGAGGGACTAAGATCATTTGTAAGGCAACATTCTTAGCGTCATCGAGGGACTATGATCTTGTATTTTTGATTGTTTTTTGCTAAGACATCCCACATGCGTAACATGAGCATTTTTTGGGCAACACGTGGAGTTAACCTTAGGGGTGCATGTGTGAATAGTGTGTTTATTTTTTAATGCTTGGTTTATCTTTAATTAGGGTTCTCTAAGCATTAATTTTATCTTTCCATATAAACCCTAATTTACTAGCATTGATATGAAAGCGATAAAATGAGGAAAGTAAATTTAATACGCTATTACGTCATTTGGGGATGGGGTATACAAATTTACAAATGGGGATTGCAAGAAATTAAACCTAATTATCTATTACAACCATATTGAAACTTGAATAATGTACGAGAGTTGAAAGGAATACAATGTACAAGGATATAAATGGAAAAGAAATAGATTTTTGTTTAGATTTTGTTAAGGAAAATGGTTCTTGACCTAATTAATTAAAGAGAATAAAATAATTAACCTAAGGGAAATTAAACTTAAGTTAATAAAAGAAATTAATTTTTTAAAGAAAATAAGTTTTTATTATTTTTTTATGGTTTTGTTTGCAAAAGTTTTAATTATATTAAACTAATACAAAAAAAAGTTAATTAAAAGAAAACCTAAGTTGAAAATTAAATTTCATTAGTAAATAGAAAATAAGATAAACTAAACCTAAGTATAATATTTATTTATAAAGAGAAATTAATATTGAAGATAAGAAGTTTATTTTTGTCTTTTTGTTTTTTTTAATGGATAAAATATAATTATATAGACTGCAAATAATAAATAAAAATATATTTTTGGATTTTTTGATTTAATAAATAATAATAATAATAATAATAATAATAATAAAGAAAATAAAACAAAATATGAAAAAAAAATAAAGTCAGGAGGTAAAAATGGAAATTAGGGTGTTTGTTAGGAAAAAACAGTTTTTATTTGAAGCTTGGCCCATTAAGTATTTTTGTTAATCATCAAAAGAAAATACAATAAAAAAACATTGGGCATGTGCTGGAACAAGCAAGATGGGGGGTGTGGTGAAGTGAAAATGGGAAGGCCCATTATAGGAGGCTCAAGCGCGCTAGTTGGAAGCAAACAAAAGAAAATGTTGGAAAAAATGGAAAAAAAGTGACAGTGCTGGGGCTTGAACCCACGCCCTTCACATAATACGCGTGCTGCCTTACCACTGGGTGGCTATACATCCGTTAACTTAAACAAAACCATAAATATATATTACAAATCCATTACTAGAAGTGAAATTCATCTTCAACCTCGAGCCAGGGTCCCTATATCTGATTCATTTCTCATCCATTCTCAAAACTTCTAACATCAAACTTGTTAGAAATTTTACCAGGATTTCAGAAATGTAAACAATTTGGACTAATAATAAAAGATGAGCATGTACTTCTAAAAGTACCAAATCCTGACCTAACTTTTTTCAGAGATTCAAACTTAAAATTCTCTAAGCTCGGGCAAAATAAATGAAAATTATGGATATGTACAGCTTCAGGGCAATGATATCTACATTTTGTCTTTGAAAATGAAAGCCTAATAATTCCTAAATGAAGAGATGAAAGTTCAAAAAAATACCTCAAGAACTGGAAATTATGAAATGAGTTTGAGCTGCTTTCAAAGAGTTGTGATGATCAGGTTAGCTTCCTTGTACATCTAGGAAGTTAATGCAATGCTTAGCTTGAGCTATGGATGGGTGTAATGGTCTGGAGAAGTCTAGTTGCAGACCTCTGTTTTTGGTTATGGAGGATGGTGATAGAGATGTTACAGTTCCAAAACAAGGACAAGGATGGACTATATTTAAGGTATAGAAGCTTTGCAAATGGTTTTGAGGAAAAACGCACGAGGGAAATGAAAGATACAAGTTCAAGGGCAGGACTGTGTATCAATGGTATTTTTGAGTAATTTCTGGTTTGTGAGTGTTTGAGGGAGTTCCAGGGCCTTACCATTCGTGTACTAGCTCATAAATAATGCCTCTATTTATAAGCAAAAGGTTTGGAGTTCTCTAGTTGATCAGAATTCAAATTTACATGTTTAAGATCAACATGTGATTTTTTGACAAAACAAGTTTCAATGCCTCGTAGTTGGTTCATAGAGTTGTTAACCACTTTAAACACAATACCTATGACTTTGTGGATGGAGTGTAATCAAAGAAAACAAGTTAGGATCTCAAGAAGCTGACTTTGTGCATAAAGCTTGCTTTACAAGAATGGATATGTTACTTTCTCCCCAAAATGGAAAATTGATTTGGATAATGCTTGAATCAATTGGATAATGGTTCAATCAATTGTATAAACCATTAATTATGGAGTGAAACACAATTTTAAAGCCTGCAAAGCAAATATTATGCAACATGGGCTTGAGATTTGAATACTTGCATATCACAAAATGACATATAATTCAAGAATGAAACCCTAACTTCATCTCTTTGATTCTCCTTGCTCAAGAATAATCTAAATGAGTTCTTTGACATTTTGGAAAGCTTGTAACATCCTATACAACCTTTATGTTGGAAAATTTTGAAGAATTAACTTGGAACCATGTGAAAAGTTACTATGAAGTTAGTACCAAAAATCTGCCTAACTAGGGCATAATTTCACCAAGTCTTTTAGTTTCATGGACATGTCTTCATAAATTCATAACTTAAAATACAAGCATTTCTAGAAAAAATTATACCCTACAATGTTTTATATCTCATTGATATCTATTACTTTCATTTTGGAAATTTTCCTTGAATCATCTTGCATCATGGTGGAAATTTGGCACAAAGTTATGAAAAAATGTTAACTTTCTAACACTTAGAAAAATTTCTAAGTCCTAGAATTTTGACTTTTCAAAGATAATTTTGACTTTTTAATTTCTTGATCAACAAATTTCATATTTTGACATGTCTTGATGAAATATTATTTTTGAAACTTGATTTTGATCAAAAAGTCAAAGTTTGACTTTTCAGTGTACAGTTGACTTTTCATCAGTTGATTGAAATTCATCTGTCAATCCAATGATCTTGAGAGGTGATTTGAACTATGCAATTAGGTCAAGATGGTGCATTTGAATCCTTGAGATCATGTCTTAAACCAATAAGTCATTTTCTTGGTCAAAAGTCAAGAACTGAGCCTTCTTAATCAAAACCCTAATTTGACCATTTTGCCCTTTTGGTGTTTTGATCAAATTTCTTTGAGGAGTTGTGATCCAAACTTGATAAATTGACATATATGAGTTCATAATGTTGATATGGACAAAAAATTATGAAGTTTAACTGCAAATTGATCAAAGTTGACTTTTCCCTAATATAGTTGATTTTAGGTCAACTGATCAACTGACTGAGCAAAAATGTGATCCAAAGCTTGAAACTTGACATGAGCAATCTTGGGGATCCAAAGTGATCCATGAAAGTCATATAAGGCATTATAAGTTCAATCATCTTTGTACAAACTTAAACCCTTATTTTGAGTTGTCAGTGTTTGAGGAGATGTCTTGAGCTGATCAAACCTTGTGTAGTCTTGAATCAATGGAGATCTTATGAGAGATTTCTTGAGAAATGAGAAGGCAAATTTTGGGGTTCAACACTAACCATAATGTTAGACTTTGTTATGGCCTTGACAATATTCAAAATGGAAGAAGTACCAACCACTTTAGTGGCCACACAATGGTATCTATTAGCATTAACCGACTCAATTAGATGGAATCCCCCCGCGAGCCAGTACGTCAACTTTATAATGGTTATTGGGGATGACTCAAGACACAACATCTGACTACTCCAGGAACTCCAAATGACGTGCGATTTCGACATCACTAGGTTCATGACCTGTCACTCCGCGATATGTTTTGACAAAGTTACTGCCATGTTCCCTTCTTTGATTAACAACTTATATTTCTGCCTCAATCAAGATAGGGGAGGCATTGGCTTCTTAACAAGGTTTTCACCCCTATAAGATTTCTCTACAAATAGAGTCTCAAAATAATCCCTAGAAGGATCCCTATTTGAAAGAGACTCTTCAAATGTTCCTTCCATTTCCCAATCATCAATCAAATTAATAATTTCTGGTTTAAAATCCCCACTGATAGATGAAAAAGAATGTGATTCAAACTTTGTTCCCCTTCTCAAAGAAGAATAAATACTACCATCCAAACCACTCTCGATGATAATATGGTTATCGATCATCGTAATGAAAATACAATAAATGTTGGAATGAAAAGGTGAAGGGAAGAAAGGGTACCTTGAAATGTAAGGTAAAATGAGATAAAGCAAAAAATAATGTTGAAAGTCAAAGCTCTGAAGCTTTGAATGAGTAAGAGAAGTTAGTCCTATGAGAAACACTCTAAAAAAATAGGGAAAGACTTAAGGAGACAAGGGAAACTCAACATACAAGATGGAGAAAAAGTTTTTCCACACACGCACACTCTCTATCTCTCTCTATCCTTATATATATAATGGAAATCGAGCATGTCATATTAAAAGAAAGAAGTAAATATGGATCAACGGCCATATTTCATCTTGGGAACACAACCAATCTCAAGTATACTCAAGTGCAGGATAAGTTGTGTCACGTCTCCCCATACCTTTTCATGTCACACATCAAGAGGAAAGCGGGAAAATGTTTTAATGATGGGACTGCATTTAATGCTCATATTCCTTATTACTCTTTGGCAAAACGAAAGCAGCACATCCCAGTCGACGCCTAGGAAATCATTCTCAATAGGATGGCCACGACTAATAAAAATACTCCATCTACATCTAAAGTATTCGACGAATTAAAGATCAATTCTTCTGGTTCAAGAAGCAACATGATTATAACCTTTAATCCAGGATAATGCATCACATAATCATATGAGAAGCTTCATTTAGCCGTAGCTTTTATCACATCCTCCATTTTTGGTTATGCAATGGAAAAATAACCAATGAAGACTGAAGGGGTGAAAAACACAAGAAGGGGGGTTGAATTGTAAAACTGGAATCTTAAAGCAATTGACAAGATATTTTTATCCTGGTTCGTTTGATCTCAAACTACTCCAGTCCACCCGTCAAGGTGATTTCGCCTCTCTCCAACGAGGTCTTAATTCACTATATTCAACTGAATACAAATCTGCTTTAACAACTGCTAAAGCCTTCTTGATTCAAACCACAATCCGGTTTGTCAAGGCAACACTTTCTTACAAAGGTATAAAACAAATGTGTGTGAATGTTTTCTACAAAACTTTATCACAACTGTGATGTATACACAAATTAAGCTTAGAAACTTAGATTGCTAAACACTAATGGAGTATCAGAGTTTGTTGGTTTAGCAAAACTGGTAGATGAAGATTATTGTTCAGCTTTGTGCGTGTAGAGAATTTGGAAGCATTAGCCATTATAATCTTCGAAGCCTTGTTTATATAGCACTTGAGAAGATGAACGTTGAATGCAATATTCTTGATTCAATGCTAATAACAAGCTTTCCTTTTTGAGCAGATCTTGTCTAGAATGATGCCGTTGGAATTAATTAGCGTTCAATGCACAGTACCGTTGCTTCTTCAATGCACGTTCTGGCTTGGCTCATTCTGATTCTGCTTTGCTGCTGATGAACTATTGTTTCTGTATCAGAGTGTTTACGCGCAGTTCTGTTCATCAAGCTTCAGCAAGTACGTGAGTTGATCATCTGATCTTGACGTTCTGATTCAGCAACTTCTGATGCTGGTGTATCAAATCAAATTCTGATGCTGAAGAAGTGATCTTGCTTATTTTAATCAGCGTATCTGCAAGTCAGAGCATAGTAATTTAGGTAGTATATAGTTCAAACATGAAACATATAAATACTATATCTTTTCACTTTGTTATCATCAAAACTCAAATATAGGGTACTAGATTCAAACATTGTTCTAACAATCTCCCCCTTTTTGATGATGACAAAAACTAGATATTTTAAATGAAAAAATAACGTGAAAAGGTATTTGGGAAATGTTTCAGAGTTAAGAAGTAAAGAGAAATCAGAGTTTAAGAGATACTCCCCCTGAGTTTGTTACTTCCCTTTGATATGCGTGTTCTTCAGGATCAGATCTTTTTCTATCTTTGAGCATCAGATTATAGGTCTTTGACTTATCAGAGAGCAGAGCTTCAGAGCTTTTCCTGTCAGAGCTTTGCTTCGGATCAGAGTGTTAGGTCGATCAGAACTTCATATTTGATCAGAGCAACATGAGCTTCTATATTTTGATCAGAGCTTCTAGCTTCTAGTCTTCATAGTGTTCAGGAGCTTCCTTGTGCCTGTAGACTTAAAAACAAAACAGAAAAACATTTCAAGTAATAGAGTTAGAATGTTTGAGAATTTCTGTCTAGTTAGCCGTTATTGATTTTAAATATCATTCTTGTTCTCCCCCTTTTTGTCAGCAATCAAAAAGTGTTGGTGATGTGCTAAAACAATTTAGATCAGAAAAACAAATTATATTAAGATAGTTCATAATCAGAGCAAAATAGCATTACAAAACATAGTTAAAACAGTACATCAGAAAATGAAGAAAACATAGAGAATGTCATGCATGAAAAAAATTTAAGGTTGTGGGGGCATGCGTGAGAACAGGCTTTCCAGCATTGCTTGAATCTTTTCAGAAGTTTCATTCTGCTTCTGAACCATGGTGACAACAGTGTCAATCTTGCTGTCCTGTACATCCATTCTTGCTTTCATCTTCTGATCATTCTCTTCCATCCGCTGCTGTAGACGCAAGTCATTCAGCCTTAATTCTTCCAGAGCCTGCCTGTCCAAGGCAGCTTGAGAACTTTCAGAAGGAGGAAGCTTCTCAGAACTTTCAGCTACATCTTCTGCTGGATTTTCTTCCTGAAGGGTCTTGTCTTCTTCTGATGGTTGCACCTGTGCAGCTTGCTCTTTCTCAGACCAAGATTCACTGTCCAGAGGGAGCACAACTTCTTGAGGCAGTTGACTCTCAACTTCTTTCAGCAGCTTGCTGAAGTTCTGTTGAGCCTGCTCATAGTTGACGTCCTGCAGCTTGAGGGCTTCAGCACGTACCCATATTCTGAACTGTGACCAGAGCTGATCAGAAGCAGCTGGGTCGATCATCCCCGGACAGACTTGCTTCAAAGAAGTAATCCATTGCAGCATACCTGTTTCAAAATTCAAAATACCAGATCCAACATCTGGTTGCTTTGGTTTGGGTATGGCAATTTTGTGTCTTAGATCAGCAAGACGTTCAAGACTTGTGAAGTCAATGAAAGTTCTGCTGGGGTTTTCAGCGGTTTTCTGAGAGGTTGTTTGTTTTGGAGGAGGGTTATCAGAATCAGAGTCAGATATTACTATTGGAGTGGTTGGAGTTTTTGGAGGTGTTGATTCCTCTGAAGATGGCAACTGGGGCCTGACAATAGTGGTTCCACATGGCAACTGGATTGCCAGCGGTGAAGGTTGAGGTGAGTGGGGATCAGAATGATGTGGAGAAGGGGTTTCATAGCGGTGAAACTCTGTTTGTGGTGAAGGTGGCTTATTTTCTGGTTGAGGAGGTGGAATCTCTGATTGCTCAGGGATCAGAGGTTCTTCTGTGAGTGGTTGTTGTGATTGTGGTTCTGGTTCTGGTTGTTGTTGTATTTCTGGTTCAGGTTGTGGTTCTGGTTGTGGAGGAGGAATATTTAGTGGTTCAGAATTTGGTTGGGCAGAAGCATGTTCACGCTCAATATCAGCTAGCACTCTATCAAGTGCTGGTGTTGTTGAAACAGTTGGTTGTTTGGGAATTTTAATTCTGGTTCTTCTGAGAAGTAAGGCCTCAGAAGGGTCTTCTGGTATGGTTTCATCAATGGTAGGGATTGGAATTGATATTCTGTGAGAGGTTTGAGAAGGAGCAACAGATGTTGGAATAGTAAAAGATTTTGAAATAGGGGCAGCAGATGAATTACCTCTTTTCTTTGGAGTCTGATGAGATGATCCTTCTGCTTTCCTCTTCTTTGTCTTCTTCTGAGTCACTTCTGGTTGGACTTGACTCAGATTTTTGATCTTCAGCTTTGAACCTGTATCTTCTTCCTTGTATGAATCTGGATACTTGAGAAACATATCAGGTTTGGATTCCATTTCAGAAAATTTTGGGAAATCACTCAGAGGCACTCTTCTGCTGGAGATGTCAGCAGTTGAAGTAGTTCTGGGTTCCTTCCTAATATTTTCTATCAGCTTCATCTTTTTCAGGTTCTTAGCGTTCAGCGGTTTTCCAACAGTTGGTTCAAGGGTGCTCAGCACTTGAGCTTCGCTCAGATAATCTATCAGCTTATTCTCTGTCAGAATATCTGATATGAGCCTTCCAAACGGTATCCAGTCCCTTTTGGTCCTTTCTTCTTCTCTAGTCTCTTTGACACTGGTCTTGAGATGGTTGAACAGAAAGTGTGCCAGATTGATCTTCACCCTCTGATCAATAAAGTAGATCAGAAATTGCTGATCCACGTTTATATAATCAGGAGAGCTTGTTGGCTTCCTGTGATTGAAACAGCCCAGAACAATCTTGGCCCATACTCTGCAGTGATCCTTCAGATCCTTAATTTTGCTGCTGGGAAATCCAAGAGTGAAAATGCTGTTGGCTACCACACCTATATCAGGGCATCTGTCAGCCATGTCCACACAACGGACTCCACCACCACTTTGACCGATTAACCTAGCAATGAGGTCTTCAGAAATTACTATCTTCTTTCCCATGACAGAAGAGATGACTAGATGTTTATGAATCTTGGCGTGAATCCAAAATTCCTTGACAAGCTCTGGGAATGTTGGTCCAACCAACCTATCGAAATACCTCTCCCACTTTTGAGCCCTAATTTCCTCAGTTAGGTCAAATCCATTATCCTTCAAACTTTCAAAGTCGATGATTAACTCAGAGAGAACCTCAAGATTCTTTACCGGTGTGAGAAGAGTTCTGAGGGGCACCTGATATTGTTCAGAGGTTTCTTTCTTCTGATTGCCTGCAGAAATGCTGGAGGATGCCATTGTTCTCACACAACAAAGCTTTGAGAATGATTTGAGAGAAAAAGGTTTGGGAGATAAACTCAGAAATATGCAGAAAATACTTGAATGATTATGAGTAAGCGTAAAGAATAAGAATGAAGGATTAATGTGTTTAAATAGAGTTTTCAAAAATTATTTTGAAAAATTAAACGTTTTTAAGAGAGAGAAAAAAAATAATGATTGCCATTAACAAGCGTGATTA